TTTTCAAAGGGTTCACTTTGCACTTGAAAATAAAATCGGAAAATCACGCCAAAATAATTTTTTCTTTTAACTTTGTAGCGGGTAAATAAACTCGCGATTTATGAACGGGAGTGTTTATAACTTGATGAAATTTCACTTTCTGTGAAATTTCAGTTAAAACTTTTGCTCTAGCTAGGCGCTACAGGCGAAAAATAAAAGTGCGCCACGTTAGGGGCCGCGCCACGTTAGGGTACATCAACAATACTGCAGCGGACTATTACTCCACGTGCAACAGAAGTAAACACCAAATATCAGCAGGGTGACCGTAAGGTTAGAGCCGAATTCTGCTAAATACACATCAAAAATCTGTGAGATTTATCAAAAATCTGCCAAATTCCCCAGAATTATTCGAAATACACTATAAACACTCAAACTCACATGCAGATTGGTAGTATTGCCTTAATTAAGGTTCCAATTACATTATAAACAATCTGTATAGTCACATAAAAGATGTTATAATGTTGGCAAATTTCGGGCAATTTAACACGGATCCGGCCACGACGAAGTCCGTTTCCCAGTAAACCTCGGCACCTAGACCAGCCGACCTGCCCCATTATGCAAGGGTTTGTTTGAAAGGATTGAAGCTTTTTTTTTAAAACAAATGTACACTTTTTTGTTCAAATTTGCTGTTTTTCTGTCAAACCCTTTTTGCAGAAATTTGCCAGAAATCTGCCAAAAAAAGTCCATTCTGTCAAATTTTCTGTCAAACTCGTTTTTTAACAAATTGTCTGTCAAAGTTAGCCGAAAATCGGCTAAAATGGTCACCATGGATATCAGGCTGCGATGAAGCGCAGGGCACGGACTGACGAAGTAGGGCCTCTTGCATTGAAACGCACTCCCTCTTTTTTTGGCGGTAACAACAAGCAGCGAGGAGGAACTGAAAGTTTACAGCAGAGGGTAGAGACGCGATTCATGCAACAGCTACACGACGGTCACTGAAAGGATAAACTTTGTGCAAAAATATGGGAGTCCAGAGAGGCCACATAAAGCTTATTCTCGACCATAACCCAATCTAAAAACAGGTTAAAATTGTGCAGCGGCAGGATTCCAATCAAACCAGTGAGTTTGGCGGTTTTGAGACATCATCTTTCATTGAAAAAAAAACACGTTTTCATTTTGCTGACGCGCATGGCTACGGCGACGCGCGCGCATATGGCACGCCAAAGCGGAATTTATTCAACCCTGCACGGCAACTGCCAACATTATAAAATACATCACAACATTAAAAAAAAAGTATGTCAACATTTTTAAAAATATGTCAACATTGTAAACAATTTGTTAACATTTCAAAAACGTATGTCAACATTTTAAAAAATATATGTCAACTTTTTAAAAAATATATGTCAACATTTCAAAAACGTATGTCAACATTTAAAATGTTGACATACTTTTTCAAAATGTTGACATATATTTTACAATGTTGACATACTTTTCAAAAAAGTTGTGATGTATTTCATAATGTTGGCAGTTGCCGTGCAGGGTTGAATAAATTCCGCTTTGGCGTGCCATACGCGCATACCAGAAACCGGAGCCCTTTTTTGGCCTAACGTGGCGCACTGTGATTTTTCGCCTGATAGCGCGAAGCTAGGGCAAAAGCGGGCCTAATTTAACTTAAATTTCACAGAAAGTGAAATGTCAAGAAGTTCTAAACACTCCCGTTCATAAGTCACGAGTTTATTCACCAGGTACAAAATTAGAATAAACATTTATTTCGGCGTGATTTTCCGATTTTATTTCGAAGTGCACAGTGAACCCGTTGAAAATCGTCACCGTTTTCACGAAGTAGCGAATTTCATGAAAATCATCCGTTTTTCGAAAAAAAATTTTTGGAAAAGATGAATAGTTATATCAATATATCTACAACCTGGTGAGGACGCCCAATTTCCGGACGTTTTTTAATTTTGGATTCAATTTCATTGAAATTTCATGCGTTAGTTCTGTGAAAGGAGGGGTTTTTCTCAGGGCCCTCCGGTTTTCCTCCCTACGGAAAAATAAAACACTTTCGCTCTCAGACTGTGCTCCGTGGTTATGTGGGTCGATGTGGCTGGCTGCCAAAGGCGCCTTTACATTCGCGGCTCCACCACGTTGTAGCCATGTCCTTCGCAACTCAGCTTGTCAGCTGCGAGTAAGGATGATTAGCCGGCCTGATAGCCTCCCAATTATCCTCAAAATAATATCTTTAAAAAACAATTGAAAATCGGAATAACCAAAATGTTTCCTCCTTAACCCTAAAGGGGCCGGGTTATTTTGACCATCTCTCAGCCGGGGGGGAGGGGGGGGGGGGCGGATTCCGCCCCCCCCCTAAGATCTCGGCTATCGAGTGACGAAAAAGTTTGAAACTCAGCACATGCATAGAGCAACTCTTCCTAAACATGCCCAAGAAATTTCATGACTTTAGGTCAAAGGGTTTTGGAATTATGGCTAATTAATTATTCATATCGTCACCGTTTTCACGAAGAGCCACATATCTCCAAAATTACAATTTTTTTCGATTTTGATTTTTTTCGATATTTCGCATTAAAACAATGTACTTAACCATTTTGACATGTTTCTGTAAGCAAAACATCATTAATTTCTAAGTTACATTAATGTTGCAAGGGGCAGAAATCTCGATAACTGCATTTTGCGTTTTCACGAAGAGCCACATACATTTTGGCCCTTTGAACGCGTACAAAACCCATTGCACGGAAATACGTAAAAGTAGGTCAAATGAGATTTGCGTTTTCACGAAGAGCCACATATCTTTGTTACATTTTCAGGCGCGCGCGCGTACTCACGCGCGCCTATGGAAATACACGTTGAACAGAAAGGGCCAATATGTCGGAAACGTGAATTTGCGTTTTCACAAAGAGCCACATATCTTTACTAATTAATTTCCACTAATTAACTGCTTTATTAAGTCTTATTACCGGGTTTATGTAAAACTTCAGCTCACGTAGAATCGTGTGATGGTTTTCTTGCTGCACAAAGTTGTTGCAAAGTAGTATTTCTTGCAGTTTTAAAATATGAGAAACTTCTTTTGTGATTATCTCGAAAACACTTAACTTCAAAATATAAACTGCTTTATAATGTTGCGTTCCCGCAAATTGCGTAGTTTACTTCTTTCCCAACCAATCCAGTCTAATCCATGCACATGCACATGCACAGCCCTCACACAGCGCGGAGCTTTACCACGAAGTCTTAGACACGCACAAGTACGGACGTACGGAAGTGTAAGGAATAAGGAAGCGTATTAAGGACATAAAATATTTTTTTAGGCCCACTACTTCACCCGGGCGGATTACTAACTCGCCCGGGCAGACTACTACTTCGCCCGGGCGAATTAGGGTAGCAGACCAGTAAATAAACTTCCATAGACCCCAACGGTAAATGCTCCCACTTCAGAAATTCGGGAAAAATACTCACAACTCTCCAAGGTGTTCATACGGAAGTGTATTAAGGACATGACAAAAAAAAATTATCCGGCCCTCTATTTCGCCCGGGCGGATTACTAATTCGTCCGGGCGGATTACTAATTTCGCCCGGGCATATTACTATTTCGCCCGGGCGGATTACTATTTTGCCCGGGCGGATTACTATTTCGCCCGGGCGGATCAGCATTTCGCCCGGGCACACTACTAATTCGCGCGCCCGTGCAGATTACTAATTCTCCGCGGCCGGGCAGACTACTAATTCGCCAGGGCGAATTAGTTATCCGCCCGGGAGAATTAGTAATCCGCCCGGGCGAAATAGAGGGCCGGACATTTTTTTTTGTCATGTCCTAAATACACTTCCGTAGTGTTACCATAAAATTACAAACGGTCTCAATCATGGAGGAAGGTCAAAATTAAGTTTCAGTATTTGACTCTTCAACAAACGTAAACTTGAACTTCTTACAATTTGCGAGACCGTCTGCGAGGAAAAAGTCGATTCAACTTTTATTCAAGTTGGATCAACCATCTATCCGAGACGGCGGTCTCCGGCGACGGCAAATGGCTCCACGTCCGTGGAAAAATGTGGAACTCGGGTGTCATCCGCGGGGTCGGACGCTTTTTGTCAATGTTTTTTTTGTGACAATGCATGGATCCTTCGGTGATATCAAACAGGCCCCCGAAATTATAACGCGACACTGAATTATACGTGGCGGGCAGCGAACTCACAACGCTCAGTCTTGGTGGAAACAGAGCGCTATATCACGTCACATGCTTGCTCTTCAAATAGCAAGCACCGTAGACCCAACCTCGTTTCTAGAGGCTGCATGTACGCGTTGCCATCGATGGTTTAATTTACGCACAGCCCGGAAGTACTATGCAGTGTGACCAGGCGCGGTTCTACAGGGGGGGGGGGGGGGGGGGCTTTTTAGAAGAAAATAACCGGTCTACATTTCAGCACGCCTCCCTAAAAAAAATCTGGATCCACCCTGCTAGCCCCCCCCCCCAAAAAAAAATTGGTTCTAGAACCGCTTGAGTGTGACTTTCGATTGGTCAGACCGCGCAAGGCATACTAATGTGTCCTTCTGAACATTCGTTGCACTCAGCGCAGGGGCGGCAAGCATGGCATAGGAAAGAATAGGGAAACTTGGTGGCCCCGCACCATGGAGAAAAAATATTTTACCAAGGTCACCACTTACTACCGTTTGGTGAACACTTTTGGGAAATGCGTTACGGCTGCTGTAACGATAGCCACTGCGGTTTTTTTTACGAGGCCTATACAACATGGCAGGACGAAAAAGGAGAACTTCACGGAGGGATATAATATCATCCACTGAATGGAACATGGAACATGCGATGTGATAGGCGTCCGAGCGTTTACGATGTGGATATGGAGATCAATGACCGCCACACATGGGGTGCCGGAACAGCGCCCTCATCATTCACTAACGAAAATTGTGTTGTGCAGTGACCGGGAAACCAGTCTAAAAATCACCTCGTCCCCAGGTATTCAGTTAACCTAGTTTGGTTGAGATGCTAAAACGCTATGGGATCGTACTGCTAGAACATCAACGAGACGAGGTTGCTTACACGCCGACGTGTGATGTGCGCGCCTAGACGAAATTCAGTCTTTTGCAATTTCATCGTAACGAAGGTAAGGCACGTTGTGCATTCCGACAAGACTAATTCACCTGTTTTTACCACCTCACTTGAACATTCTTCCTTTCTTTTTATAGCATACGTATAATAGTGTATCACTGGAATGAATTCGGTCATTTCGTGTTCATATTTTGGTCAGTTTAGTGTAGGAAGTTGTCTTCCCATCACTTCAGCAAATGGATCACTTCGGCATGTTCGGTCTTCGCCACGTGTAATCAGGTAATACCCGGCCGAACGACCCCCACGCATACTCCTAGAACTATGACATGTATGAGGCTCCACGTAGTGGAGCCTCATAGGTTCAGAAGCCCGCAAAATTGTTGTCAGCACAAAACACTAATTAAGTACAAAAACGTCCATCCCAAGCAGGCCGTTTTCCACAGAACCGCTGCACAGTTTGCCCCTAAACTCCATACAATACCTCATGACATACTCACGTTATGTGCACCCAACAAACATCGGTGGATTCTGTCTGTTTTTCGGCAAAATGATGAAAAATATGCCCTTTCCGCACTGAGCCAACCTAACACTTGAAACGAGCACGCGTGCAGAATGATCGCAGTTATTTTCGGTTCGATCGCTCGGAGCGCGCCGTGGGGGGTACGTACTTGCACTTGTACGCATGTGCATACTATCGTTCCGCTCCTACACCATACCCCCCGCGGCGCGCTCCGAGCGATCGAACCGAAAATGACTGCGATCATTCTGCACGCGTGCTCGTTTCAAGTGTTAGGTTGGCTCAGTGCAGAAAGGGCATATTTTTCATCATTTTTGCCGAAAAACAGACAGAATCCACCGATGTTTGTTGGGTGCACATAACGTGAGTATGTCATGAGGTATTGTATGGAGTTTAGGGGCAAACTGTGCAGCGGTTCTGTGGAAAACGGCCTGCTTGGGATGGACGTTTTTGTACTTAATTAGTGTTTTGTGCTGACAACAATTTTGCGGGCTTCTGAACCTATGAGGCTCCACTACGTGGAGCCTCATAGTTCTAGGAGTACCCCACGCACGCACAGACGCACGACCTGGACTAGCCCCATAAATGTGGCCTATTTACTGGACTGCCTCCGTAAACATAGGCCACACATCCACATGTACAAAAACGTGTCACACTTTGCCAAATTTAGATTTTCGCATTTAGGCTTAGTTTGTACAATTGTAGGTTTTTTTTGGTTTAGTTAGAAGCATACTCACCCTCTTTTACTAGGCTAATCAAAAAGTGCTGCCTTTTTCAGCTGTATATTTTTCGTGAAATTTCCAGATTCATTTGTACACATTTGCGTATCTAAATTTCAACATGAAATTTCACAAAAAGTAGACATCTGAAAAAGGCAGCACTTTCTGATTAGCCTATAAAGAGGGTGAGTATGCTTCTAAAGCAAAAAACGGTAGCGCCAGTATCACAACTCCAGCAGTACCACTTATGATAATTTATGCTTACGTCACCACAAGTCAGGCACGACACGTCACAGGACTTAAAATTGCAGTATTATATCGATGGCGATCAGTGGCGGAGCTCCGAAGGTTTCGCATCGAATGATCGGTCAACTTTCGGAATGTACTCGTGTTTGAGCAGAGCCAGCTGTGACATGTCGTTCTTCCCATTCCAAACTAACTACATGTAGTGCAAACAATTACAATAGCATTGGGTTGTACCACGGAGAATTACTTGTACTTGGGCTAATTGATCTGTAACTTTGTCAAGGTTAGCGTGCTCGGCGGATACTATTTTACACACTGGCAGTGTCGGCATTTTAGTCGATTACAACGTGCGCTTAAAAAAAATAATACGAATAGATAAGGGGAGCCTTCGTTTTTGAAATGACCAATGTTAGATTAACCGGCTTGGGCAGATGATTCGGGTCCATGCATATTCTTCCATGAGTTATTATTACATTTAGCATTCAAAAAGTAGGTATCGTGAACGCTTAATTGCATTAATTGTTATTTAGTTTGTTTATTTTTACTCTTTTCCTTTTGACACAACCATAGAGAAAGGACATACCATATTTATATAAACCTTGTTAATATTCTAACAAAAGCTATTGAATAAAGAATTTATTTTGAATTAATGGATTCGAATCAAAATCTTTTTTCTGTCGTTGAAAAAATCTGCGGTTGTACTTCCGTGTGCATCCGTGGACTGCGTAACGCCATAACCACAGAAATCCTTGGAGATGCTAAGTATGATTTATCTGATCCTTTACCCTAGTGTATGGGATGGTTGACCTAGCATGTCTCAAGATATTTTTCGCAGGGAATAATAGATTAACTGTGAAGCTGACACTTTCTTTGTGCCAAAGAGGGTTGATGGTTTTACCAAGAAAATTACCATACTTTTTTTAATCGAGGAAAACCATATGGGCCCACCATGCAAGCTTAAAGGGTGCCTTAGGAGAAGCGCATATGGTTGCAAACAACATGGCAAATCGCCCAAATTTTGATGTTTGCATTAGGCCCAATTTTGGGTATGTATACAACCTCTAAGCGGCATTAGATCACAAGCAACACCATGAGCTGACGAGTGGATCAAGTTTATCGTTCTTCCTAATTTTTTTAGTACATGTATATTATTTTGTCTTACAAAATTTCAAATTGTGTTTTGTGCTTTAACAGAAAAAATATTGGGCCTGTTTTGTTGTTGCTTTTGCCAGTGCCTCCTTCTGTTTTTTTTAACTTGTCAACATCACCGAACAAATTTCGATTTGATTTAATAAATTCGAAACAATGATGATAAAGCGGTTAATTAACCGGGCATCGTTAAGCGTTATGCGTTTAACTTGCTCTGTGTTTTAACCATTGATCTCCATTTTACATTGATCTCCATAAGTAAGACTTAAATCAATGATTTTAACCCATGCAGCTCTAAAACAAGTAGATACAGTACCGCACCGATATTGGAGGAGGGGGCATCGAAGGTCGCGTGTACGGCAATTACGGGCGGAGTCGTAACATTGTACATGTTACACCCGGTACATTTACGTACGGAACCCTTGACATGTATGGGGTATAATGTGACCGTGCTGGTGGGCCTGCTAAAGAACGACATGCACTCGACGATCACACGCGCGGACCGACGATGTACATAATTCATAAGTTTGATGACGCTGTACTGTTCACGGCATAAATTATGATAAGTGGTACTGCTGGAGTTGTGATACTGGTGCTACTGCAAAAAACCTTCAAACTAAACCTAAATGTGAAAATCAAAATTTGGCAACGTGCGACACGTTTTTGTACATGTGGATGTGTGGCCTATGTTTACGGAGGCAGTCCAGTAAATAGGCCACATTTATGGGGCTAGACCTGGACAATGCTGAATCTCGCGGGTCGTGGCTGTTTTCAAAGTACTGTACTTTCCCTTTTACTTGTTTTTAAATGGCTGAAACTTGTGTACAATTAACATTTACGGTGACATACCTTTTGTCTTGTGTGCAAATTTTATTTCGTAAAGACTTCAAATAACTTCGTGATGGCGAGTTGAATATGTGACCGCGGTGCAAAGCCAACCCGGAACTTGTCTTGGAGTAATTGCAGAATACCCCGCCACTTAGAAATACACCCCTAAATTCTCTGGATACGAGGTTGGAATCACTGGAAAAGAAACAATTCAAGTCCATGCCAGCTACATGTACACGGATACTGAGTGGGGGTCCATTATTTGAGAACGAAGCAACACAAAAGGAATGGGAGTTGCTGAAAAAAAGTTTAAGTCCAAACCAACCACCCTGTTGGCGGCTACGCGGATATGGAGTGGGAGTCCCCTTGAATATGCTTGAGAACGAAGAAACACAAAAGGAATGGGCAAATTTCGGGCAATTTAACACGGATCCGGCCACGACGAAGTCCGTTTCCCAGTAAACCTCGGCACCTAGACCAGCCGACCTGCCCCATTATGCAAGGGTTTGTTTGAAAGGATTGAAGGATATCAGGCTGCAATGAAGCGCAGGGCACGGACTGACGAAGTAGGGCCTCTTGCATTGAAACGCACTCCCTCTTTTTCTGGCGGTAACAACAAGCAGCGAGGAGGAACTGAAAGTTTGCAGCAGAGGGTAGAGACGCGATTCATGCAACAGCTACACGACGGTCACTGAAAGGATAAACTTTGTGCAAAAATATGGGAGTCCAGAGAGGCCACATAAAGCTTATTCTCGACCATAACCCAATCTAAAAACAGGTTAAAATTGTGCAGCAGCAGGATTCCAGTCAAACCAGTGAGTTTGGCGGTTTTGAGACATCATCTTTCATTGAAAAAAAAACTTTTTCATTTTGCCGACGTGCATGGCTACGGCGACGCGCGCGCATATCAGAAACCGGAGACTTTTTTTTTTTGGCCTTAAAATGACATTTTTACCCGGTGTCACAGTCTCGCTTCTCCAGTGTGCTAGCTTCTCTGCAGAGGGAAATTTCGCCTCAACACGCATGTGCAAATTGCGCAGTAGTGTACATTTTTGGCAACATTTGTGTGCTGAGTTCTCTGGGGTTGTACTGCTGCATTTGAGATCTTAGGACATTTGTATGTATAGTTACAAGGTACCAGTCGAATCCACGCAAATCCCAATGTTGTAACCAAAAACCTTGAAGGATTCACATTTATTTTTAAACCATGGTTGCAAAAATAAAGAAAACCATGAACGAGCAAGGAACACAGACAATGCACAGACCAAGGAGTTCGTTCTTAATTATTCCTCCATGAACACACCTACAGTACACACAATACTGGGAACACCCAGGGAGTGACCATACTCCTCTCTATAAAATAAGCTCAATAGCTTGACCCACAGGAAGTGTTACATAACACATTCTTGGGTGTCCCTCACTGTGTTTAATATGTAGACTTCAGAACACAGCCCAAGGAAAAGAAAGCACAGTGGACACATGAGCATGAATCGTGCTCATGTAACGTTAGCCTTGTTCAATGCGGTCTCTCGGCTTTTTGTCGAAGGGAGATAATCGGGCCCTGCACCTACAATCAACGCGGCTACGTGCGTGTAC